AAAATAAACTATGGCATATCTATACAGGGGAATACTATTTAGATGTGAAAAAGAAGCTTTCTAACTAGGGATACAGAAACATGAAAGATCTTTATGGTACACTGTTAACTAAAAGAATCAACAGGGTGCAGAACTATATCTACTGTACACTGATTTTGAGGGAGGAGTAGAAGGAAAATAAGAATGCATGCATACATACATACATACATATCACATGCGATATATATTTACTACTATAGGTATAAAGTAACACTGATGGCACTGGTTCCCCAGGTTGTCTGCATCACAGAATCAGGAAAAGTTAAAAAAAAAAAAAAAAATCCCATCCTCAGAAATAGTAATTTAATTGGTCTGGGTGTCACATGGACGGTGGAATATTTTTCAAAAGAATTATTTAATTGTATTTATTATAATTATTATTTTTAAATTTTGCTATAGGCCATGTGTGCTCAGACAGAGACAGAAAGTGAGAAAGCAAGATGCCAGATCCAGGACTCAAACCACAGTCCAGGTGAGAGTTCAGTACCTCAACCACACACCACCTGCTGGCCCCAGGCTCTGGAATTTTTAAAAGATTCCCATGTGGGACCAGCAGATGGCAGAATGGTTATGTTACTGAACTCCTACGTAGTCAACCATGGTTCAAGTCCTGGACTAGGCAGCTTAAAATTTACACCAGGCTGGGGCCAGCAGGTGGTGTGGTGGATAAGGGCGCTGGATTCCCACATGGCCAACCAGGGTTCTAGTCCTGGACCTGGTGGCTTGCTTTCTCACTTTCCCTTTCTCTCTCTTTCTCTTTCTCTCTCTCTCTCATCAAATAAAAAAAAAAATGGAAATAAATAAATAATTCTTTAAAAAAAAAAATTTACACCAGGTGTGAGTGTGCCTAAGATCCTGAGAAGAGAATAGAAGAGGAGGGATTGTGGCATGGTGATTACTGTCTGTCTGTCTCTCTGTAGAGCTCATGCACTCTATAGCAAAACTCTCTTAAAAAAGAAAAGATTCACAGACGATGCCAATGGCAAGAGAAAATGGGAAACCACTGGTCTAAGAATACAAAAGATACTAATAACAGCAGGCTTTTCTGTGCATGGGGTAGGGGGGACAAGCTGGATGGGGGACAAAGATGGCAAACAGACCTGTTGTATATTTTTAAATACAGTTTATATCTTGAGCTACATGAATGTATTAACTCTTCAGAAAATTAAATAACAATTAATGTATATAAGAACACCAAATAGTTGCTTACATAATGTTCATTTTCATTGTTCCTTAACCTAGGCATCAGCCTCAAAATAAGTTTATAAATATACCTTGGAAAAAAGTCCTATTCTCACGTTTTCACTGTTTGACTAAAAACCATAACCCTTATTTCAGTGCTGTTAATGCATTATATGCAGTTGCTGTATTACCTGTCTTTATAAACCCAGCAGGAAAGTTTATCACGTGGTGTGGGCGGTTGTCCCTTAAAGTTGGTGATTTTTTCCCAAACGTAGGTTCCATCTCTTGTTCGCAAGTTAACAAAATAAAGCTTTTAAAAGATGAGAATGCTATTAGCAGACAGGGCATTTGAAAATTAAAATCTTTATCAGAGGGTTTTATGATTCAAAAATGAACATGACTACTCTTGTCTTTTTAACAGATAAAATATTTACCCGTAAAAATTAAAAACTGTAGAAATAATAAACATGTGACAACATTTTAGAAGCAAAAACGACATATAAAACACACAGAATCGCTTTTCCCCATCTGCTCTTGCCCTATGGATAGTAATCGGTAGGTAGTTAACTCTGACACAGAAAGACACGGAAGAGAACAGGAATGCTGCATTTTCCATGTCTCTTTCAAAGCTCCTAATTATAAGCTCAAGATTTCTGCATATATCTTCTTGTTAAAACATTTGTAAACTTGCAAGATGAAGTGATGTGTTAAATACGACATTCCACTGCACTCCTAAATGAAAAGGAAGCATTACTCGATTGCTGTATCCTTTGTCATCATATCCTCCAAAAATGTACAGCTTTCCATTAATGCAAGCACCACAGCTTCCGGACATGGAGGTAGGGAGTTCTCCTTCCATTAGGTGCATTCTCCTGCGGCAAGAATAACATGGAATCTCATAACTTTCCAGAAAGGCAAATGAAAATTCCCTTGGAACTCCATGAGAATTCTCTGGTGAAAACTCTCACTATGAATTACAATTAAAATGTATTGTAATTGGGAATTAGTAGAATAAAATGAAGTCTTCAGAGACAGAGTTGGTCTTGAGAGGAATGCAAAAGGACAAAGCATGGAGAGGGAAGGGAGGGAGGAGAAAGAGCCACAGAGAATAAAGCATTGAAAGAAATGAAAGTGAGACATCATAAATGTTCCAGTATGTTCTGTGTATGGTCTGAAGGTCCTGTAGCCTATCAAAGCACTTATTTTTATTTTATTTATTTTTGTAATTTTGCTATAGGGTGTGTCCATTTGCCAGAGAGACAGTGAGAAAGCACCCCTGAGGCATGGTGGCCACACCACAATCCTCTCTCCTCCATTCTCCTCTTGGGATTTTGGACATGCATGCATGTAGGTGGCATGTCTTTCAAGCCACCAAATCTGGGACTCACCCCACAGAGTTGGCCATATGGGATCTAGCCACCCCAACCACAAGGCCACTGACTGGCCCCTGAAAACGGATACTAAGATTGGATTTTACGCAATTGGAAGTTACTTACCACAGCCCACTATCAATATCATAGGTCCAAATTTCATCATTAGGCAAATACACCTCATTGTCTTCAATAGACTAAAAACACAGAATATAAAAAATTAAAGTTATCAATTACATAGTAACAAATAGCTCCTCATGACGCGAAAAACTACAATTAAAAAAAATTGGGTCATTGGAAAAGTCATGATGCATTTTTGCATAGTAACAGAAAAATATGTCATGAATTTTTTTTTAAGAGAGATTTTTGCTATAGGGCACATGTGCTTGCTTGAGAGAGAGACAGAAATCACCCCCCAGGGGGATGGTCATGCTGCAATCCCTTCTCCTTCATTCTCTTCTCAGGATCTTGGGCATGCATGAAACATGCTCAGCATGAGTTTTAAGCCACCGGGCCCGGGATTCAAACCACAGTCAACTATGTGGGAATCCAGCGACATAATTAGTAGGCCTTCTGCTGGTCCCATCATGATTTTTCTGATGACCCAATACAACACACAAAACCAGGCTCAAGGTTTTCTTCCATAGTACATAAATATACCAAAAGAGAAAGGAAGAAAGATTTTCCATTAGGAAGTAAGAAAACAATATTTAGAATATAAAATAGCAAGTATATGAGTCTCGAGAAAAAGATCCACAGCAGTTAAACTTAAACACAGATTTTGAGTAAGGGGAAATAGTAAAACAGTAAAATTTAAAGCAGAATTCTAAAGACTATAAAGCAAGGAAGAAAAGGAGTATCAAAAAAATGACAGTATATTTTGGGTTAAAGGAAAGAATTATGAAGGAAAATGTTTAAAAGGTATCATTACAAGTACTGTATCAGATATCTTGACTTACTGGACATATTTTTTGAGTGAGTACTATATAAGACATAGTGTCAGGTGATCATTAAGCCTAGAATCTAAGGATAAAGATAGACTTTTTAAGGGACCAGCAGTTAGCGTAATGGCTATGTCGCTGGACTCCCATGTAGTCGACCGCGGTTCAAGTCCCAGACCCGGCATCTTAAACTCCCGCCAGGCATATGTGTGTGCATGCCCAAGATCCAGTGAGGAGAATGGAGGACAAGGGATTGAGGTGTGGCCATCCTCCCTGGGGGCGGTGATTTCTCGCTTTCTGTCTCTCTGTCTCTCTGGCCAGTGTATGTGCCCTATAGCAAAAACCTCTCAAAAAAAAAAAAAAACAAGAAAATTTTTTAAAAAAAGAATTAATTTATTTCATTTGACCGGATAGGGACAGAGCGAGAAAGACAGAAAGTGAGAAAGCAAGCTACCAGGTCCAGAATTCAAACCATCGTTGGCCATGTGGGAGCCCAGCATCCTTAACCACGATGCCACTGGCCAGCCCCAAAGCTAAATCTGACTCGTCAAAATGACAATTCAGGATCTGAATAATTTTAAAAGCTGACAATATAAATAGAACAGTGTATTCTAATGTTTATGATAAAAGGAGAAGTAAAAATAATGTAAGAGTCATTTATTTTAAGTTAACTTAGGAGTTGAAATTCTTATATAAGACTGTTATGAGTTCTTAGAATTTATAAAACAATTCAAAAAGAGCTAGAGGTTTTGTTTGTTTGTTTTGTCTTTAGAGAGATTTTTGCCATTGGGCGGATACATTCACCAGAGAGATGGGAAGTAAGAAATCACCCCCCCGGGGGAGATGGCCATACCTCAATCCCTTCTGCTCCAGTCTCCTCTTGGGATTTTTGGGCATGCATGCACATGCACCTGACATGAATTTTAAGCCACTGGGTCTGGGACTCAAACCACAGTTGACTATATGCAAGTCTAATGATGTAACCATTACGCCATCTGCTGGTCCCCCCAAAGAGCTAGAGTTTTAAAGTAGCAATCTAAGAATTTCTAAAACTATATGACACATAAATTATTGGGTTTTTGTAAAAGTCATGATGCATGGCTTTTCCAAAAAGTCATAAGTCATGGCTTTTCTGATGACCCAACATAAACATGCTGCCCAGATTTAGTTGTTTCCCTACTTCTGTGTTAGCTGAATTAAAAAAAAAAAATAGTATCTCAACTACCAACTCTTCCTCTCCCTCATACATATAAAAATAGAAAACCAGGGGCCAGCAGGTGGCATGGTGGTTAAGGTGGCTGTACTCCCACATGGGTGACTATGGTTTGAGTCCTGGACCTGGCAGCTTGCTTTCCTTCTCTGCCTCTCGCTCTCTCTGTTTCTCTCTAGTGAGTGCACATACACTATAGCAAGTTTAAAATAACAATAATAATAAACAAAATTAAATGCATAATTATTATTTTTTAAATTTACTTTTGTCCTTATTTTTTTGTTTAGAGAGTACATACACCTCCCAGGGAGAGAAAAAGATACTCAGAGATTGAGAGAGAGACCTAGAGAAAGCACCCCCACCCCTCTGGGGCCATGAGTTGTGGTCAAGTTGAAATCCTTTCTCCTCCATTTCTCCTTCCTTTTGGGATTTTGGGCATGTACACACACACATGCTGGTGTGTTTCTCAAGTTCCCTGTCCTGGACCTCCAGTGATGGAATTGGCCATGTGGGATTCAGCTGGTTTAACTACTAAATCATAATCCTGCTTAAATCCCTTCACTTTTACCATACTGCTCTTAGGGTAGTCTATTTTTTTTTTTTTTTTTTTTTTGAGAGGTTTTTGCTATAGGGCATGTGTGCTTCCCAGAAAGACAGACAGAGGGAGACAAAAAGCAAGAAATCACCCACTGGGGTGATGGACACACTGCAATACCTTCTCCATTCTCCTCGGGATCTTGGGCATGCACGCACACGTGCCAGGTGTGAGTTTAAGCCAGTGGGTCCAGAAATTGAACCGCAGTCGACTACATGGGAGTCCAGCGACATAGCCATTATGCTAACTGCTGGTCTCAGATAGTCTAAAATTGTTATGACTCTATACTACAGGGTACCTACTATCCCTCCAAACCTCAACTTGTCACTCATTATGTTCTAATCTTCTCTCAGTTCCTATGCCTCTCCAAGCTCCTTTCTGCAGTGGGGTCATTCATTTCTAACTTATTTTTCTTCCATCATATTACAACTCTTAACTCAAAAGGTAAAACTGTTTTCAGATACAATGTCCTTTCGAATATGGCCAACAATAGAGCAGTAAGTATAATAATGTAGACTGGTATCCATAAGCTTTTAAGATACATGTTTGTTGGGGCCAGCATTTGGCATAGTGGTTAAGGTGCTGGATTTCCACAAGGCTGACTAGAGTTCAAGTGCCAGACATGGAAGCTTGAAAAATCACACTAGGCACATGTGCCTGCACGCGCAAAATCCTGAGAGGAGAAGAGACTGTGGCATGGCCATCTGTCCTGGGGTGGGTGATTTCTCACTTTCCCTCTCTGGCTACCTCCAGTTACCACATTTTTTTTTAAAGAGTTTTTCCCCTTCCAGCACAAGTGTTCAGGTAGAGAGAGAAAAACAAACACAGGGAAAGGGAAAGCGAGAAATCACCCCCCAGGGGGAGAGCCACACTGCAATCTCCTTTCCTCTAGGATCTTGGGCATGCACGTGCGCGCGCACACACACACAGCATGATTTTCAAGCCACCGCCTCTGGGACTTGAACTGTGGTTGACCATGACGGAGTCCAGTGACGTAACTGCTATGCCATCTGCTGGTCCCTTGTTTTTGTTTTTACTATAGGACGTGTGTTTGCCAGAAACAGAGAGAGAGGGAAAGTGAGAACTCATCCTCCAGGGGGAATGGCCGCCCACAATCCCTTCTCCACTTCCCTCTCAGGATTTTGGGTATACATGCAAAGGTGCTGGGTCCAGGACTTGAGCCACGAAGCTGGCCATGCGGTGTCCAGCACCTTAACCTCTACATCACCTGCCAATTCATGATTTTTTTTTTTTTTGAGAGATTTTTGCTATAGGGCGTGGGTGCTTGCCAGAGAGACAGAGAGACAGAAAATGAGAAATGATCTCCCAGTGGGGATGATCATGCTACAATGCCTTCTCCTCCTTCTCCTCTTGGGACTTTGGGTACTCACATGCATGCGCCCAGTGTGAGTTTTAAGCTACTGGATCTGTGACTCAAACCATGGTTGGCCATATGGGAATCCAGCAACATAACCATTAGGCCACCTGCTGGTCCCTATTCCTTTTTTTTTTTTTTTTTTAAGAGAGTTTTTTTGCTATAAGGTGTGTGTTTGCCAGAGAGAGAGGGGGGAGGGGGGGGGGACAGAAAACAACAAATCCCCCAGGGAGGATAGCCACACTGCAATCCCTTCTCCTCCACTCTCCTCTTGGGATTTTGGGCACAGATGCACATGCACCCAGTGTGAATTTTAAGCCGCAGGTCTGGGACTCAAACCATAGTCACCTACGTGGGAGTCCCGCAATGTAACCATTACACCATTTACGGGTCCTGTCCAGGGCAGCTCTTATAGCTCCTCTGCTGAGTTAATAAGTAGTAGGACAAGAAGTATTTCAATTCAGTACTGCCACGTGAAGAACTGAAATCTTACCAATTTCACGACTGAAATGAGATGTAAAAACTCCAGACATTTCATATGGGCACAACAGATATTGCTCCTGATGTGAGACATTTAATTTATGGGCTCAGAAGAAATCCATACAGATACGAAATACTGCAGATTACTATTTTAAGTAAATTTTTTGCACTTAACTCTTATAATATCAAGAATCAATATAGCAAATGAAGTTTGACACAACTACATCTTCAAGCACCAGGTCTCAAAAATCAATAAAAATATTTCTGTAAACACAACCAGCCTTATATCTAGATGATTTCTTTTTAGAACTATTTTACTTAACTTTATTTATTTTTAATTTGACCAGAGAGGGAGAGAGCAAGAGCAAGAGGGAAAGTGAGAAAGCCATCCGCCAGATCCGTGACTCAAACCACAGTCAGCCATGTGGGCGTCCAGTACCCTTAACCCCCATGCCACCTGTGGCCCCTAGATTATTATTTTTTTTTTTGTGAGAGATTTTCGCTATAGGGCATGTGCCCTCACCAGCCAGACAGACAGAGACATAGAGACAGAAAGCGAGAAATCACCCCCCAGGGGGGATGGTCACGCCGCAATC